TGAATTGGCAGACTATCTCATCAACTGGTATGATGCTACTAGTATTTCTACTAGTAGATGCTGATGCATAGCCTGACATTTGACATCTCGTAGGACATCGCAATGTTAAAAATACCAGTCGCTAACATTGAAAAAGGATAGACCGTGAACTAGTTGGGCTGAAACGCAAACTGGTAGAATTCTAGTTCACAACCAGTAGCTTTGCCGGCAGGGTCGCTTTCATCGCAAATGTCGGCTGTGGCGTCGAGTGAAGACTACCGATTCGGGTTCTGAGATCTCAGGTTCGAGTACACTTGGAGGTTGTTAAAGTAAAGTAAGTAAATTAATTTAATTGATTATTTCAATTTAAATATAAAATAAAAATTGTACATAAATTTAATTTGATTTGGTAAAAACCAAAATACTCAAATACCATAAAAAATTAAAAGAAATAATTTTTCGTTCTTTTTAAAACAATAAATTTAAAAATTACACACGAGATATAAATGAAAAAAATAATAATAATAAAAAATAATAAAATAATAATAAAAGGTTCGCTCACTGAGATTCGAACTCGGATCTCTTGATTTGGCGTGCCAAAGCTTTACTCTGTCGACCATTGCCACTGTTGCAGCGGCTCGAGAAAAATGACGTACTTATGCTTTTCACGGGGGATGAATAGGCAGTCTATCCCGTCAACTGGTATGATGCTACTAGTATTTCTACTGGTAGCGTGCTATTGCAGGAGCGGACAATTGACATCTCCTATGACACCGCCATGTTAAAAATACCAGTGGCTAACATTGAAAAGGGATACAACGTGAACTAGTTGGGCTGCAACGCAAACTGGTAGCATTCTGGTTCACAACTGGTAGCTTTCCCTGCAGGTTACATATACTTACTTAATTAATTAAAGTATGACCCGCATGCCCAACTAGTCAGCCAACTATCTTTTTTCCATGCAATCAACTGGTATTTCTAACATGGGGATGTCCTACGAAATAGCAAATTGTCAGATTTCGGTCAGAAATATACCAGTCTCATAATAGTTCAAAATATACAGAAAACACTAGTCCCATTATGGACCAAAACCACTAGTTTAGGAGTCAAAAAATAAAATGAATTCATGAATATACAATAAAGAACTTTTGATTAAGTACGCTTTAAAATATTACACGTTTTTATTTAGCAGCCTTAGATTTGCCAATAATTAGTGTTAAATTTATTTAGTATTAATTAAAGGGAAAAATAAATACATATATATTTCAAACTTTCGAACATAAATTTAAATGCATTTTCCATTAAATGTTATTAAAAGTACAATAAATACTATATTTTTATCATTTTTAATTATATTGAATATGCAAAAGATAACATTTTAGTTAAAACTAAAGTGAATACTTTAGTTCATTTATGAGTGAACTTAAAAAAATAACAGTTTTCACTAAAAAAAATTAAATTCATTAACTTTGCACATTTCAGTCTATTTATTTAAATTTTATAAAAGTAATAATTAATGTTTAAAATTTGAGATTTGGATAAGAATAAAATAAATAATAATAATTAGGCAGGTACTAAATATTCTTAATTTTTGTCTATAGTTTGGCTTGTTGATTGATAATAGAAATTGATGAAATAATTATATTAATCGTGTAATTAAAAAAAAGTCAAAAATAATTGTAAATGATAAAAAATAACAAAATAATGATGTAATTAAAATTAATGAATTAATTAACATTTTTTCAGTAATTAATTATTAATCATTAAAAATATGCTAATATCGGTATTTAAACATTAAACGGTTATCCAAAATCATGCAGTAATTAATAATAATTATGAATTTTAATCATTATTTAACAGGACTGGTATAATTACGGTGACCATCCGTTCTGTTTTTTGCAGGACCGTACTGTTTTTCAAAGGTCGGTCCTGCGTAGTTTTTCAAACCTGAAATACCTGAAAATGTACTGATTTTTTCCAAGTGTCCTGCACTTGGCCCGCATTTTATTCGTTATTTTAAAATTATCGGACACTGGATGAATTTTTTCAAAAAAGTGCTTTTTGGTACTTTTCGTAGCTTTTGCTTCTTTTGCAACCGAGCTACAAAAGAACACTCGCTTAAATAACGAAATACACGCAAAGCAACAACACAAACTCGGCTATTTATCCGAGTTCAGTCAGGTCGGTTAAAACATACGCGACCTGAAGAGTAGTGTTGTTAAGTGAAAAAACTGCTATATTGTGAATTGTTAGTGGGAAAGTGGAGGGGGAAATTTTTATTTTCGTATATACATGATATATATTTTAAATAAGTATATATATTACGTAAATACCTCGCATAATTACTAATTTCTATTGTTTTTTGTGTCTACATCCCGTTGACCTAATCACATGTTTCTTGCCAGCTACCGGCAGGGTTGCTTAAGTACCTAAAAGGAAATTTTACCCGAGTTGAGGGTTCTTTTGTCGCTCGTTTACAAAAAAATGCAGCTAATATCTCATGAAAAGATCTCCCAATCAACGTAAGCGACTTACAGCTCGAAGGGTATTGATGTGCCTCTTACCAAAATATATAACTTGTGGCGACTTCAATGAAAATTATTAGTACTACAGGCGACCATTTGCATTTTGTCGTCAAAGAGCGTGTGTGAATCGGTAATAAAGTTCGCGGCTAGTAAATTTTTGGCAACTATGAGGTGAATAAAATTTCAGTAGCTTTGAATTTTTTAACAAATGCATAGAAAATTTTGATAATAGCAAAGATTGTTGATGTGTGTAATTTTTCGTTAAATAAAAGCTTAAATTGATGAATTGCAATCAACGATGGTAGATGTTTTCTTAAAATATTAATTTCACTTAAATTTGTAATATTTTATTCCGCATAAAGCTGCGGTTATCAAAAATTTACTGCTGTCAAAAAATATTTAATTTCACACAGCAGATTGGCAAAACTGTCTCACCATACTAAAAGTATTATTCAACAGCTTTCCCCATAGAACTTTGTTACCGATTCACACACGCCCAAAGTCGAAAAAAGTGAGATTTTCAATCAAATACGCAGTTTAATTTGATTATTTTTTTCATTATTTTAAAAATTCGATAAAGAAGATATATCATTACAGTAAATTTTGAGCCAAAGATAATGAAAATCGGATTAGAAATGTAGAATGCTATGGAGCACAAATCTGCACAAATTATATATTTTTGTAAAGGGCACTTTGTAATTCGTCGTTTGCGTCGATTCATGACGTCGATTTTTGACAAATAACTGCTAAAAGTACCACAAAACAAAAAAAGGGTATTGTTTTCGTTTTGAACGACTCAAAATTTGCCTATAAAATAATCTTTTAACGATTTTCACTTTTCGTGTAAGCTATTGTAATTATAATATGTTTTACTATACTTTTATAAATATTCATGTAAAAAAAGATTAATATCGATGAAGAAAACGTGATTCATTTTTAATTTAAAATATATTAAGGATTTAG